TGGATTTTTCAGTCTAATTATAACTTGTATTCTCTGCCTTAGAAAAATAGGCTTGATGTTTAGGAATGGTTTCAGTGAGTGAAAAATAATTAAAATATATATATGAATAAAATACATGGATGCTACATTGGACAATACATTTAGAATTTATTAGAATTTTCCCATCTGAATCTACAACTTTTTATTTCAAAATGGAAAAATACGTGTGCACTTTTAATGAATTTAACCTAAAAATAGGTCAGAACAAGTTTGCCTAGTGCTTGTGTTACAAGGATTTCATTTGAATGAAACTTGAAGAAAAAAATGATGATAAAAAATTTGGGAGCTAGTTTATAGCAGCTTTAATTGGAAGTTACTGGCAAGATGGGGGCTGCCCTAAGCGTCTTAGAAAGGATGCAGATATTCCTGCATCAGCTGGTTACCTCAGGTGAAAGCTTTCCATGGCAGCCAGCCTTGTCTGGACGCGTGGAGCGTCGCGGCTGCTCGGGGCGCTCGCTGCCTGCAGCCCCCCCGGCAGAGGGAAGCCATGGGAGGGAGGGCCCGGCCGCACCGTTCGTGTGGTCCCTGCGGTGCCTCCCGGCTGCCGGAGCCTCCTCACTTCTCATGCCTGTGAATGAAACATCACGTGGGCCAGGAATCCATTGCAAACTCATTTCTCCCATATCTCTGTAGAACTTCAATGTTTTAAAAATGGTAAAAGAAGTTAGTCTCTCTCATGAAGAATTAGTGTGGTCAGTGTGAGTTCGATGTGTTATTTTGTCCTGGCATGTGTGCTACTCAGTTTGCGAACTGTGAAGTTGCTACCAAGAAGTTTGAAGGAAAAGCCACTTCTTTTCCTCACTCGAAACTTTTTACAGCTGTATTATCTTTTTCAGATACAGAACTGTAAGAATTTTTTTTCTTTAAGGTCTCATACAAAACCAAAAAGTATACTTGTTACTGTCTGCACTAGTAATGGGGAATAAAAGTAAAATTCTATTTAATATGTGAAGAATATTTAAAATTATATGAGCTTTTAATCTTGTTTTCCCTCCTTGTAGTTTTTTAAGATCACGTTATAAGCAACATCACTTTTTTTTATTTTTTATTTTCAGTAATCTATCAAATTCCCAGTCAACATACCAGAGAAGGCTGTTAGTGACCAGATCTGGAAGGAAAATAAAAGGAAGAGGACCAAGGGTAAATGTTTACAGTCTTTTCCCCAAGCCAAACATGCAAACTCACATGATGGCACACACCTGCTGCATTTTCATTAGGATTGTCAATTTTAAAAAGCCCCAAATAAACAGGTCTCATTGCGTGTCACAATTGATTAGTGGGCTGAAGCTTAAGAAAAGACAGGGAAAATTACGTGGGTTTTTTTTGTTTTGTTTGATTGTTTGTTTTTTGTTTTTCCCCAAATTACCAAAGTGACCAAAGGATAATAGCCAGTTATGCTCAAGCTTTAAAAAAAAAAAAAAAAAGTTGTGTAGGTTTGCATACTGAATTTTTTTGAAGATTAAAAAGCATGACAGCAGAATGTAATATTTTAAGTCGTGAATGTTGCTGGCAAAATCATGAACAAGTAATGTTTAAACATCAGAAAGCATAGAAGGATGTGAGAACTTCTTTAATATTGATTAGATAAATAGTTCTAGTCTTATTTTTTAGAATGGAACCTTATGTCTGTGTGCACTTCTATTTTTCTTTGCGTGAGTCAGCTTATATATTAAATAGAAAATCTTATACTTGAAGAAGCCAATGGTGTTTTGTGTGTGTATGAGTACTTAGAAAAAAATACAAATTCTTTTCAGGAGAACAAGCTTGTACAAGAGATCTACTCTTAGAAGGAAAAAACAGAAGGGAGTTGCTTTTGAGCACCGCAGTTTTAAAAATTACAGTCTAAGGAGAAGGAAAAAAAAATTAAAACATCTGTTTTGTACTTTAGGCTGTGTAAGTTTTGACATAACAGATATCAGCAGTTAGAAACTCTAAACAGAAATCTCTTACAATATCAAACAAACAGAATTAAAGTTTAGTTATTAAATTAATTATGAGAAAATGGATGTGATTAATTGTTTTAGAAGTCTAATTCATGATGGAAACTTGCTTTGTTCTCATTTGTGAATCTGCAGGGACACTTGAAACATGAGTTCTTACAAATTCTCAAGTTTAGGGTGATATAGTGATTTGCAGGATTTGTAAAACAGCTTGCTGAAATGCTTGCAAAACAGGCTACCAAAACTTTGTGAAGGGGTTGTGTTGTCTAGAATCAGCGTAAGTGCAAATCAGCCAGTTTATGTCACTTTTATTTGTTAAGTAGAAATACATAGCCATCACCAATATTGCTCATCCTTTTTGGTTCTGTCTTGTAACTCACTGCTGCTAGTGCTGCTGCAAGAGGCAGATCTTGCATCTGGTGATCCATCCCCAAAAAAGGGGACTAGTGAGCACCAGAACTAGTGTCTGTAGCAGCAAAGTGTGGAAGTCCCCTTTTTATCAGGGGTCAGCTGTTAGATCAATTCTCCTGATCTTATGAAGCTATATACTATACATTTTTTATATAGCAAGTGGTTTTACAGAAGCATCCTTTCTATTGTTTGAATTTCTAGTAATAAACTTTAAAGAAAAATGGGAAGAAGGGCTTTGGTGTTGCTTGCCAGATAATTGTCATTGCTAAAAAAGTGAGTTAAATTTGTCCCAATAAAAATGACAGAAGACTTGCTAGCTTTGAGTAGAACAATTCTGAAGTAAAGTCATCTTAAAAATAAGTTATTTGATCAGACATTTGATATCCTTGATTTGACTGAATGTCAAATATGTTTTAACTGAGTAAATTAATAAATTGTTAATGTTAGTTCAGCTTGGTGTAGAAATCGTGTCACGTTAGACGCAGTGCAGAATCAACCACCAGGGATTAAAAACCTTGCTTAGGCAGCAAAACATGTGAAATTCAACTTTCTTTTCCTTTCTTTTCCTTTTTAAAGCGTTACCGGACACCTTCCAGATCCAGGTCAAGAGATCGATTCAGGCGCAGTGAAACTCCTCCACATTGGAGGCAAGAAATGCAAAGAGCTCAAAGAATTAGAGTATCCAGTGGAGAAAGATGGATTAAAGGGGACAAGTAAGATTGTTTCTTTTCAGAAATGCATTTAAATTTGTATGTGTTTAAGTAATACCCTTCTCAGATTTTTCTCTTGTCTTACAGTAACTTCAATGAAAATGTTATTGATTATTAACTTTGCTTACCCTTTGCCTCATAACTCCTCCTGTTTTTAACCATGCTCATTTGTGACTACTGTAGATTTGAAGTTATTAATGTAACAATCATAATGTGATTGAAATTGCAGTTATGAAGCTCTTTCACTTCTGACTTCATTTTGCAGAGTGGAGGAATTCAAAATATTTAAAAGCTATACTTTTCTCTCTCCAAGGAGTGAAATAAATGAAAACAAGAAAGATAATCAAAAAAGCCCAGGAAGAGGAAAGGAGAGAAAAATATCAGACCACAGACAAGTTTCCGAAAGTCCAAGCAGAAGAGGAGAAAAGGAAAAGAAAAAAGATCATAAATCAAGCAGCAAAGACCGGGAGACAAGACGGAATTCAGAAAAAGATGACAAGCATAACAAAAGCAAGGCCAAGAAAAGAGCTAAGTCCAGAAGCCATAGCAAAAGCCGGGAGAAATCAAAAAGTAAAGAAAGAGACTCCAGGCACAGCAGACATGATGAAAAGAGAGCAAGATCAAGAAGCAAAGAGAGGGACCATGAGAAGGGCAGAGAAAAAGAAAAACGTTATGATTCTAGAGGAAGAGATAAAGAAAGAAGCAGGAGCAAGGAAAGAAGTAGAAGGGCAGGTTCAAGAAATAATGAAAAAGATCATAGTAAGAGCAGAGACAGGGATAAACACAGGTCAAGAAGCAAAGATCGTGAACACGGTAGAGGAAAACATAGTTCCAGCAGTAGAACAAGGGAGAGAAGCAAAAGCAGGGACAGGGATAGGAGAAGAAGATCTAGAAGTAGAGACAGAGATCGCAGTAGAAGTAAAGAATATTCAAGGAATAGAGATAGAGATAGAGACAGAGACAGAGATAGAGATAGAGAAAGAAGAAGAGGAAGATCAAGAAGCAGAGAAAGGAGAGGCACACCAGAGAGATACAGAGGAAGAGAAAGCCGGAGGAGGAGAGAATCGAGGAGTTCAGAGAGAGAGGATAGTCAAAGCAGAAACAGGGATAGATATTCCAACAGAGAAAGCAGAAGCTCATATAGGAGGAATGATAGTGAAAGCCAAAGGAGGAGGCGTTCAAGAAGCCGTGACAGTAGCAGTCCCGAATCCAGCAGAGATAAGAAGTCTAGCAGAGATCAGGATAGAAGTCCAGATTCAAAAAAGAGACCAAATAGTAAAGAGAGAGAATCAAAAAAATCATATTCACGCAGGAGCAAAGAAAAGGAGAAGTCACCAGAAAAAGAAACAAACCAAAAATCAAAGAGTCAGGAAAGAGATGAAGCCCAGAATAAGGATAAAAAGTCTGATCATGAAACAAGTCCTGGAACAGATGACGACCGGCATGGATGAGTTTGTGGACTTAATGTTTCCATTGTCTCAAAGTTTTAGAGACATTTTGGGAAACGCTTTTTTTAAGATGTGGACTTCAGTTTGGTCTTTTGATAATCTAAAACCTGGATCATTTGTACTGCTAAAGTTTTAATAAACTTGAAATGAAAAACACATTCTATGCGTAATACAGTGTGCTGTGTTTTAAATATTTATTTTATGTATCCTGGTGTGTTGGCAGGTAGGAAGGTAACTTCTGTTCCACGTTTGTTTTCTACCTGATGAACTTAGAAATTTGTGCAAACAATCGTTGCCCGCAAAGAAGTGTGTTTCATGTGTGAAGGAGAGAGCTGCAAATATGCTACATGTCTCGTTAAAACTAGTGGAATTAAACAAGATGTCCGTTACTCCTACCATGCTGCTATTTTCATATTTTAGTATGTAGAAAACCTGAGGAAATCAATGATTTTTTTGTTTGTTTTGCAGTGAGTTAATCTAAGTAAATCTTCACTGTTAGCAGTTTGTCAGCTGTAGAACCTATTCATGCCCTAGGGCAGTTGCCTGTGTTTGGGAATTACTTTTTGGTTCTAAATATTTTTGTAGAAAGCAGTTTTTCTGAAGTGCTTATCTTTTGGTGCAACTTCTTCTGTAACTTCACTTTCTCTGCTCTCATGTTTGTTACGGAAAGAATCAGCTTGGATGTTGCAGCGTGCAGTGCCCCGCTGTCACTGCTGGCGACAGCGGCACCGCTGGGAAGCCCGTTGGCAGCGCGTCTGAACCTTCTCAGGGGCAGCACGCCTGAGCAGGGTAAGGAACACGAAAGCCCTTCCCCTTTTGCTGCTTCTTCACTGTCCTTGAGAGAACTGTTGTTGCTCTGTAATTTTTGGATTATTTGAAGTAGGATTTCAAGTAATGCTTCAGGACAGCTGTTTTGAAATTAATTTATTACTACTGAAAACTTGCTTTCCTTCCAGAGTCTCCTTAATCTGAAGACTGTCCTTTGATTTTGCTCTCATCCTGTACTTCTTGTGTCTTCTCTCCTTTCATCCCTAACCCTTAGGACCCAAATCTGCATTTCTTAGCAGCACACCTTCATATAAAGGAGGAGGTTGCCTTGTATTGCTGCAGCAGTGCCCGCATTTTTGCTGCTTCCAGAGAGCACATAGTCTGTGGGAAGGCACATAGTAGGCTGAGAGAGGGAGGATAGAGTGGTGTAAGCCCCAGCCAACACTTCATTCAGTATATTGCACTGTCTGCACTGAATGCAGACCTTAACAAAAATAGATTTATGGCTGGCAAGTTTTGAAATTTGTAAATGTAAATGTTAATGTAAAGCTGTGGTAAAGGATTGTAAACAAAAGGAGGAACAAGAGGGAAAAAAAATACTAAAACCGCAAAGTTATTTTTTATCAGAATAGTTTGTAGAACTGCTTTGGCTATTCATTCCCCCCTATGTTTTTGCACCTATTTTGCATGACAGTGGCCATTTTGTGCAGGATGTGTGAAGCCTTTCACAAGCCTACATGGCTGGTGACATCGCTGTTCCTTGAGAGGGGCTGTGGGAGTAAATGCGAGGACTGTGGTGGAGCTGTTCTGCAGGAGGCCGCTTGGAATTCGGAGTGCAGCTCCTGCGCTGAAACTCAAAGGGGCAGCAGGAAACCAATCCCAAGGAAATAACTTACAGAATTAAAATGAAAGGTTGCAGTCAAACACTTGAATGTATTTACTAAAAATCTCACAATGTAGATTATATACAGTTGTAGTTGACATACAGCTGTCGGAAAGATTTTCATTGAAAAGATGCATTTCTATACCTTGCATATGGATTGTCTTCCTTGTGGATAAGTATTTTTTCAGTCTAACATTAAACAAGCTCTACTTATTTCATAGCAGTTTACAATTCATTTGATTAGATGACACAAGCCCCTTTTTGTTGTCTTTGATGTATTTTGTAAGAAGTTGGTCACTTCTAGTCACGCTGATGCGCAGAGGAGCTTGTGCCTGCCTGTCCCGTATTCCATGGGAGATGTTTCTGTGCTGATGGCTCTGGCTTGTTTGGGTTGGAGCGCGGCAGCTGCAGCCTGGTCAGAGGGAGGATGTGCCAGATTCCCCTTGCTTGAGGTGCAGAACCACGGTGGGACTCGGGGCAGCAGCACAGCCCTTAACAGGCAACATGTCCCCAAGCACGAGCCGCTGCTCTGCCGTGTGGCGGAACCGCTGCCTCCCCGCACAGCTGGGCGGCCTTGGGCTCCCGCCTTGGCAGCCCTGGCAGGGGCTTCTGGCTTCAGCACAGGGTGTTTGAGCCGAGGGCACAGGCACAGGGCGCTGGTGACCACGCTGTGCCCGGCCCTCCTGTGCGGATGGGGAGAGCAGCTGCAGCCCCTGGGAAGCTTCCCGGCCGCGCTCACAAGGGCCCTGCAGAGCCTGAACCTGAAGGCTCAGGACGCAGAGTACCGCACTGGTACTTTCGTTAAGAACCCCTTTAAATGCATGTACGTACCAAAAATTTCTTAAGGTCAGAGGAGCTTTGTCATTAGATTGGGAGTGATGATTAACACTGTGCTTAGACTATATAGCCTATGCACGTGGAGGAAGCTGGAGAATTTAACATTGGTAGTAGCTTTTCCGAATGTGTCGGGGAAAGACGTGATCCTGGATTTTCTGGGTACTGGCATCACCTGAGAAGCACAGCTCCTCTGTGAGGGTGGGTGGAGATATCTATGTAACATATATATATATATATATTTAAAAAAAAAAAAAAGTGGAGAAACTGCCTGTAGAAGATGTGTTGCTACCTCCTGATTCTCTGGCTGACAGTCATACAGTGTTTCAGTTGAGAAGGGGGGGGGAAAAAAGGCCATGGTTAAATGTTATCCATTCTATTTGGTTGTCAAAATCCTGAAACTTCTTTCTTGCTATTGAAATGTGACTTCTCTTGCAGTGCTCTTAGATGCCTTCAAGAATTCGCTGTTATTCCCTAATGTCTAATTTGTAGTAATATCATTCTTGCAAAGATTATAGCTTAATGTAAACATAAAGGAAGCAGTCCTGTTGGCTTCTTTTCTGGAGTTTGCTAATTTATTGATGATTTTTTGAAGGGAATATTATACTTTGGATGTGCCTTCTAGAGCAAAGTAATGCTTGTCTGATTGTCAAGAAAATGTGTTTTCATGCTTTTTTGAGACTCCTTTGATTAGAAAACCTCAGGGTAAACACACTCTGCTGTATCACAGTCCTTGCTTTAGATCACTCCTGTTTTCTCTCTAATACATGAAGAATGGCTTTTTAAAAAACACTAGTATTTTTCTTCCTCAGCCATGAATTGATTTTTATAGTCCACTTACCTGGAAGGGTACTAGTGCCAAAGTTAATCTTCATGTTTCTAGAGTCACTGTGACGGAAACATAAAGTAGTTACATTCTGCTTCTTTCGCTAAAAGAGTAATTTTCCTAATGCAGTATTCCACTAAATTACTCAAGAAAATGCCTACCACAAAATATACAAATTCTGCATTCTGCAAAATTTCCATGCAGTACAATCCTGCATTTTCCTAGCAAGAATACCCCAGTTTTTCATTTTGTTGCATATGTACTCTTAGTGTAATTCTTATTTCTTACCCTGGAACATCACTAAAACAGTGTACTGATGAAACCTGTGTTCAGTAATAAAAGCATAAAGTGCTATACATATATTTTTAAAAAGCTATGATACCAAAAATGTTTTCTAATCAGTATGAAATTTTACAAAAGGAAGAGGTGTGACAAAATATAATTAAGTGCTGAGTTCAGATAGTAAAACTCCACAAAGGTACAGCCATGTGTGGTTAAAGAATTAAACTGTAATATTCTTTATGATAAAGTCATTGTTCATACGAAACTAGCAAGACGGTTACTGTGGGCATGTTCAAAAGGCAGATTTTAAACTGCTGACTATGCTTGACTGCAGCTCATTGGTTTTAAGCGTTTTGTAAATGTTTATTGATTGGAACTCTTAACATATTGAACATAGGCTAAATGAATTGTGAAGTAATGTGGTATCATCACTGACTTTGCATTGAAATTTTGCAACATACAGAGCAGTTACAAGGAAACTTGCTGGTTTTGGCAGGCAGTTAACCATTTTTACACACCCTGTACATATCCCTATAAATGTATGTGGGAAGTACTCATTGTGTTGATTTAGCGATAGTTTTTTTGATCCTGTACATGAGTGCTTGGAGCATTAGAAAGAATTTAGGCCTCATTAATTTCTGATCAGTTGTTAAAAGGAACTGGCTAAGAGAATTGTCATTAATTATAATAGTAGTGCTGTTTGTATTAAGAAACTAGAATTCAGTGAAGTATTTGGAAAATCTGAGTCTTCTGGACATTTTGTTACCTCAACTGTAGTACTCAACTGGGAGGTTGGCTCAGTTCTGAAGAGGGTGCAAGTTCTCAATTGTAAAATGTACAATTTATGTATTAAAATACTTTTCAGAAATAAATGCTTTTTCCATATTTGTTAGTGTATTCTGTATGTCTGCATGTGTGTGCTTCCTCACTAGGTCTGAAGTGATGGACGAGTGATAGGAGCTGGTGTAGAAAAGAATTCCCTGCCAATCCTTCATTGGGAATTTGGGTCACGTTCATGTGTAGTAGGTGTGAAAACCCTAGGGCACCTCTAAAAAATTATTGAAGAGTAATAAATAATGACAACCTGAGAGAGAAGAAAGGAGGAGAGAGAGAAAAAAGAGAAATTGGATGGAATGTGTTACACAGAGTTGAATTATGTGCATCTCAGTATCTCCAATTTATCAAAATAACTTTCAAAAAGTACACAGACTGGTGATATTTGAGACTGTAGTTAGCTCTTTTTTTTTAATGGGCTTCCCCTTTCATAGCATATATTCAATAAGGATCCCTTATAGTTTAAAGTCTTTCCATAAAATTCAAAAGGACATTGAATCTATTGTATTTTCCACATAAAAACTGCATTTGGCTTTCCTTGTTGGATAACCTCATTGTTATTTCATGTTTTTACTTCTTGAGTTGGAGTATGGATACAAGGTAACTGAGTCCCACCAGTATTCTGTGCTTGATAACTAGATCCTTTTCCTCTAGAAAGTGGCCCATGTACAAATCCGGTTCCTTCTTTAGATGCTTTAAGAAGAGGATAAAGATTATGCGTAGTCTTAGACTCCAATTCAATTACTTGTTTTGCGTAGTCCTGGAATTCACGCTCCTTAAAAAGTGCAATAACCTCTCTCTGAGCGTCATAGTCCAAATCTGCTTGTTTTTCCTGCTGTTTTCTTGCCAGCTTTTCAGCCTGATGAAGAAAAGGGAACAGCAAGGGTTGATATTTCCTTCACAGCATAATTACCCATTAAAACTTAGAGGATAAGCTTACAGATTTGTGAATCAGTTCATAAGCTTTCTTCTTTTCTAAATTGACCACTTTGGTGAAGCTCTACATCAGCAGCTGCTCTTTGGGGGTGGGCCCAGAAGGTACAAAGTGGCAGCAGTGGTTGGCAGTGACACAAGGCAGGGTGAGGCCCATGAGTGCAAACCAGGATGGAGCTGCACAGCAGGGGAAGGGCTTTGTATTCGTGGGGATTGCAGAATGGCTGAGGTTGGAAGGCACCTCTGGAGATCACCGCTCCACCCCTAGTTGGATTTTAGTAATGGGGTCCTGAGCACAAAGGAAACTCAGGTGCAGAAAGGGGATTTGAATCCCAGATTGGGATCTCTCCAAGTTGTGTTTGCAAAGCACTGATCTCTCTCCTGCCAGCCCTTTCAGGAAATCCTCCTGGACCAACGTGGTGGTCAGAGACAATCTCAAAGTGAATGCTGTTCCTCTGCTCTTGAGAGCAGGCTGGTCCCCAGCCCCAGCATCTGGGTGCATACAGCTCAAGCAAGCAAAACCAGCAACAAAGAGCTCTCCCTCTCTCTGCCAGGATCTCGTCCTGTTGGTGGTTTTCAAGCACATTTATTCCTAAAGGGGCTTGCAGAGCACAGCTATTTACCATTTGCTGGATCTGTATTTTCTGGACTTCCACATTTTCATCACGCCGTCTCTGTTTCTTGGCCTCTTCCATTTCCAGATAGATGCGATGTGCCTCCATTAACTCATGAAGTTCTTTTTTACCCTCTGCTTTCTCCTCTTTCTTCCTTTCCGCTTTCATCCTCATCTATATGTTTTACAAAATACTCAATGTTAACCAAGTAGCTAGCCAGTTAAGTTGAAAATCATGTCTTTGAGCAAAAGAACTCCCATTTCAGAGCTGTGATGAGCATGGTTACTGGGGTGGGCAGTGCCCACAGCCAGTGTTTTTAGCAGAACGGGTAGATAAGCACCAACATGTGGGAGAGGGACAGGAGACCACAGGAAAGATAGTAGATGAAGTGTGCTGATAAGCAGAGCTGAAGTATGGAAAGTGTTCACACAAACTACCAATGCGTATAGAGCTTTCTACCTGTACTCTCTGGAGAAAGTATCATCACATACACTCTGCCCATTGCTCAAGCAGTTAATCTTTTACCATATATAGGGTCAATGTGAGAGGTGGCTGGTAAGTAAGAATTTGAATATGTGTCTCTCCATGAAAACTAAAAGGTAGATACTAAAAACTGTTGTGTCTCTTAAAGATACTGAGAATTTAAGCTATACCATAGTGTATTCTTCCCCCTCCTCTCCAGGTTTCTTACCACAGTGGCTCTGTGTTCAGCAATAGATTCAATGTCAGCCTTTTTTTTTTCTTCTTTGGCCTTGCGTTCTTGTTCTTGTTTAGCTTCTTTTTTCGCAATATCTTTAGCAACACGATCATCTTCCATCTTAAATGCCTCATTCATCTGTGCAGCTAGTCGGTTAACAATGGTGTCCTGATGTTCCTGCATGAGCCTGCAGTAACATTTAACTGTCACGCCATACCAGGGTACCCCCTGCCTGAGGCTTTCCCACTCCCAGAAGAACCCACGCTGCATCCACTCCTCTCTGCTTGTTGCACAGGCCCACCTGCCCAACTCCTTGACCTCCTTGTATTCCTTCAGTTCTATTATTTAAAAGTACCTGTTTGGGCATATAATTGTTACCTATTTTTGTCAAAACAGCTTTTTGTTGAGTAATAAGCTATATCACTCAGGGAGGAGTCCACTTAGCATCTTGCCATTAGAAAGAGCTGTTGGGAATACTTGATGAGATGAGGTAAGAGAAGGAAGTTATTATATTAGGTCACTGGTATCTTTATGCTGTATTCTGATGGTTAAATAAGTAAAACATAATTCCTTACTAGTACATTACCCAATATAATTAATACAGGTCCCCAGTTAAGAAGTCAGGGAGTCTTTTTCTTGTTTTGCCTCAGGGAAATACAGCTTGTGATCCAAAACTGCTTTCTGTCTGAATCTTAATTGTCTTCAGTTCCTGGGGCTGGAGGTTTTGCAGGCCATGCAGAAAATCACTACTCCCAATACCCCCATGCTTTGCACCCTCTGCAACTCTTTGTGCTTTGTTTGGAGAGGGAATCTTTCCAGCCTCCGAACTTGCTCTTAGGGAAGTTAAGAAATCCTTTTTTCTCCTGATTTCCCTACCTTCTCTATCAGCAGGACTTATTTGTGGAATAAATGTGGTTTGTGTTGCATTATCAGTCTGAAAGAATTCAATATGACTATAGTATACTTCTAAATTGTGATCTAGCTTTGTACCTACCTTTGCATTTCAGCTTCTTTTTCTTTTCTCAGCTTGGCAATAATTTGCTTTGCTTTAAAATGAGCTCTAATCCGATCATCTTCTTCCTCCTGTTTTTGTTCCTGTGCTGCTTTAATTATTTTCTGGTCGGCTACATGTTCCTGCACAGACAAAAAGGTCCTGGTGTATTTACAACATATGCAGTTTAGGAAATCTGGGCCTTGAGTATCAATTTAGAGGAATCATTCACTACTCTATCTCTTTTATCTTTCTTTCAAAGGAGAGAAGGGATTCTCAGTACCTGCACTTACTTCTGCTTCCCTGTCCAAGCATGCATGAAAGGGAGATTGTAGCACTGAGGAAAAAAAAAAAAAAAAAAAAGAGGGGAACTGAGCTCTCAACACAGCCCCTTCCCCGGCATGCTACATAAACACAGCAATAGGCACAGGGACAATGACAAATCAAGCATGGGCACTGAGGGATAATCCCTCATCAAAGAGGAGAGGAACGGTAGATGCGAAAGTACACCCCAAAGAGTGTACTTTCATGCAGCACAGAAGTGTGGGCTAACACTGTGATGTTACACAGCATTAGGAGGATTATTCCTCAATTCCATCCACTCACAAGGAGGAGAGGCGGAGTTGAGAATGGGAATACAGTCCCCACCTACACACACAATGTGTTTCTTATGGTCCACCTCATCCAAACCTTTCCCAGTTTAACAACTGAGTCTGCATACTAGCTGAAGAGGGCTGTGCTAGAGTTACATGTCAAAGTACCACCTTTCATATACCGGTCAAAACTGGTCAATCAACGTGTTGCTGCTTCAGCTGTGGCAACGTGCCCTTGAATGTGAAGAGGAAAGGGCCGCAGATCTTGCTCAATTTCCTAAACATTGCTGCTCATAAAGGGAAAACATGAAAATATACTGTCATGTTCATTGATGAAGGTAACTCCTTCCAAGCAAAGGAAAATGCGCTCAAAATGGAACAGCTACATGGGACCTAAATCAAGGTGTGAAGCCAAGGAGAACACTCCCTGATGCCCTCTGCAGACTGTTCCACCCCAGGCTGGCGAGGCTTGGGCACCAGGACATCACCACGTCAGGCAGCACGAGGGGCCTCCCCAAGAAACCCTGCTCAGAGCAGCAGGAAAGAGAGGAGTTGGGGAGCTCCTGCTGCACTCAGGCCTCTGCGCTTAGGTACATGAAGGCCCCTTTCACTCCCTGCAGCCAGAGCAAAACCTGCCCGAACTCTCTGCTTTCCTGCTACTTACGTGGTGTAGCCTCCGGCGTTCAAGTTTTTCCGCCTGCTCCTTTTCCTTTCCTTTCTGAATTTCCAGTTGGTACAACTGGGTCAGTCTCTGAATTTCTTCTCCTTCTCTTTTGTCTTCTAGCTTGGCTAGTTCTGCCTGATGCTCATGTTCCTTTATTCTGAGACAGAGGAAGGAGTTGAAGAAATGCACTGAGGACTCATAAAGAAGTGAAAAGAGAAGAATCCTGCATGCCTAGAGGTACCTTAACACCAAAGAACCCGCACTTTGCAGCAGAGGTGGTTAGACTGTCACAGGTCAAAATTAACATCATAGTTTTGAAGTTAGACCCATATTTTCTAGCCAGAACTTAGCTGCACAATCAGACTGCAGGCTACTGATAAAACATGTTTCTTCCTATCCAGATGACCCATTAAAACAACTATATTAATGACATTGTAGCCTAGCTCTGCAGCAGTTTGAGCAACTAGGATTTCCACAGTAAGTCCCATGAAACCTATGTTTTTCCTCATGCATGTGCAGGATGGGGCTTAAGCTGGTAGTGTTTTGTGCTAAATTCTGCAGGAGTTCATACACTGGACCTGCAATATGCGATATTAGGCTTTGAGCTTTTCCTTTGCATCAGGGAATTTGATTTAATCTATCAAATCTCCTGGGCCAGTGCTGTAAACACTGGGGACCTCTGTATGAGGCTTCTGGAGAGAAGCTGAGAGAAAGAATGGTGGCAGCAGGGGTGCATCCTCTTGGGATCCGATTAGGGCCAAATAGCAAATCTGGTTTCACTTTTTTCTTTTTCTGCAAACAAAACTAAGTTAATATGAATTTTCAGTGACTGCTTCTGAATAATGAGTTGAGTAAAAATTCACATTGCCTGATGGAGCCCATTTTACCTGTAGCCTGTTGGCAACTGCAGGATACTGCACATCACAGCTTTTTTTTCTTTTGTGCAAGCTCTTTTTTAGACTGTAGAGCTCTTCTAAAACATTGCATTTGTGATCCAAATAATTAGGTTTCTCTAAAAGCTTTATAGAACATATTTATGAGAAGACAATTTAAATAAAGAATAAAACAGAGTTGCTCTTGATTATTACTTACTGTTCCAGCTGATCTCTGCAAAGGGCCTTGTGTTTCATATAACGCTCACGTGCCTTCTCCTCCTCTCTGAGAAGAGCTTTTTTACGTTCATGTTCCATTTCTTCTTCCTTCTTTTTATTAACATCTCGCTTTAACTTTTTAAATTCAACTTGAGCATCTCTTTCTTTCAGAACCTCAGTAAGTAGAAGTGCACTCTACAAAAGAACATTTCACATGATTTGCATGTTCAGAAGTGTTTAAAAAATTCAGTAAAATTTGAAATTAATAAGTTGTCAACAGACATGAAACCCTTTCACTCTTTCATTCCGGTAGTATTGATAGGTTCTTGCTTGATCAATAGCCTCTTTCCGTTTTGCTGCTTGGAACTGCGCTTCTTCCAAATCTATTAACCTTCTCTCTTCCTCTGCTCTTTCTTTACTGAGTTTTTTGGCTTTAAGTTTCCTTTGTGCCAGGCCCTACAATGCACAATGCAGATAAAACTTAGTTTTTAATTTTTGCAGATCATGCCTAAAAACTGCAGATGAAAAATATATAAAAGATTTTGAAGATGATATATCCACTTTTTAAAAATTTTATTTTAAATGACACCATTTTAAAAGATTGTAGTAAAGTGCCCTAGTTTACAAATGCTTCTTGTACTTACCATAATGGTGTTGGGCCAGTCTTTCACGGCCGCTTTGGAGCGTAAGTGCATCTCCCAGCGCTCCTTCCTCTCGGCAAGGACACGGGCTGCTTCTCTAGTTGTACTGCCAAGGTTGTCCTGAATCCTTTCCCATTTCGCTTTGGGCAATACAATAACCTGATGAAGGTCTACATCGCTTGGTAGGAAATATCCATCTACAATATTATCTTCTGCCAAACCATTTAATGCTATGTGTAGGTAAGAAGAGACATTTAAGTTATTTGGTATCAGAAAATGCTAAATTTAAACCTGCATTAAAAAGTTTCCCTGCATAGTTATGACAGTTAAGTTTTAATAATTATTTTCCCTATCCCCTCGAGCTAAGCCAGGGTATCAACAGCTGGATATGTGCTGGGGCTGTGCGCGACTGAACTGTGTGCATGACCCGAGCTGCTTGCACAGCCCTATGCGTTATGCGCACACGGAGAGCTTGGCACAGCCCGCGCTGTGCGCGCAGTGCCCGGGCGCAGGCCCGGGG